ACAGCAGAAACAAACATTGTGTTTCTTTTTCAGGAAGGCCTGTCAGGGACCCTTCTCATCCCGATTTGAGTAAGGCCAGAAAGAAATTGGAACGTTTTCATTCTGCAAAAAGGCGGGCCCAAAGTGCTTCAATCGTTGCAGAACTGACAGGCTTCAGCAAAATGCAGAAAACCAACCCTGGTGAGGTAGCTGATGCCCAACAAGACGAGCCATTTAAGATATTGCCATCTCAAAATTTTGAAAGAGAAGGTACCTGTAGTACTTGATACCTTGTTCTGACTTCTCCATCAAGGTTCTGATACCTATATGACGTCATGTTTACGAAAGGATACCGAACTCAAGCGCTTAATGATTGGAATGATGTAGTGAGTATTGACAGAACCGCAGTGAGAGAGCCGTAGCAACCGGTTTGTTTTCACTGCAGCCGCGTTGTTGTGTGACTTGTGACCTCACATGGGAAAGGCCTATATGTATATGTACCTATATATATGTATATATATGTACATGTATATTATATATATAAGTATATATATAAATATATATATGTGTATATATATAACTATATATGTGTATATATATAACTATATATAAGTATATATGTGTATATATATGTATATATATAAGTATACATATATATAATTATATATGTATGAATGTATATATATATATATATATATATATATATATATATATATATATATATATATATAAGAAAACGCTTAAACAAAATGAATTACACTCATTAGAAATCTTCACCATATGAATAACTGTACCGGTAACATTCCATCAACGGCGGCATTGTTAGGATTTAGTTAGATTTACTTGTGTGCCAGAGATTCATTTGTGAATCAAATTGATAATAAATACTTGCATTATATAGAAGAATCGTGCAACATAGATACAGATATGTGTATATATATGTATATATATAAGTATACATATATATAATTATATATGTATGAATGTATATATATATATATATATATATATATATATATATATATATATATATATATATTATATATATAAGTATACATATATATAATTATATATGTATGAATGTATATATATATATATATATAATATATATATATATAATATATATATATATATTATATATATAAGTATACATATATATAATTATATATGTATGAATGTATATATATATATATTATATATATATATATATTATATATATAAGTATACATATATATAATTATATATGTATGAATGTATATATATATATATATATAATATATATATATATATTATATATATATATATTATATATATATATATTATATATATAAGTATACATATATATAATTATATATGTATGAATGTATATATATATATATTATATATATAAGTATACATATATATAATTATATATGTATGAATGTATATATATATATATTATATATATATATATTATATATATAAGTATACATATATATAATTATATATGTATGAATGTATATATATATATATTATATATATAAGTATACATATATATAATTATATATGTATGAATGTATATATATATATATTATATATATATATATTATATATATAAGTATACATATATATAATTATATATGTATGAATGTATATATATATAAGAAAACGCTTAAACAAAATGAATTACACACATTAGAAATCTTTACCATATGAATAACTACCGGTAACATTCCAACAACGGCGGCATTGTTAGGATTTAGTTAGATTTACTTGTGTGTCAGAGATTCATTTGTGAATCAAAGTGATAATAAATACTTGCATTATATAGAAGAATCGTGCAACATAGATACAGATATGTGTATAAACGCTTTATAAACTGTCAAGATCACATTAAATAAGACACATATCCTTGAATATCATTACCATCGGCATTGCATTGGAATATTTTATCCTTACAAAGAGCCACCACCTCTGATGCATGAAATATAATGTAAAAAAACAACAAAAAAACATCGAATGTTTAATGGCGTTCTGATATCCATAAATTGATTAAAAGAATGACTGAAATCTTGGTTTAACTCCATGCCTGAAATCTTGGTTTAACTCCATGCCTGAAATCTTGGTTAACTGCATGATAAATCTTGGTTAATTGCATGACAAATCTTGGTTTCATTAATGCTTGACTAAATATTTGGTTTAAATGCAAAACTGAAAATTTGGTTTAAACGCAAGACTGAAACCTTGATTTGACTGCACTACAAAACTCGTGTCTAACTAAAAGCCTGCCAGCCTACGGTGCACTCGCAGGTAAAGCCGAGCTGCTTGTGAAAGGCGACAGAAGCCTCGTTTTCCTCGCTAACGTAGACCGAAGCCTTGCCACTCTGCCGGGTCACGTGGGCAGCCAGAGCGAGGGTCACCGCCTGAGCAAAACCTCGTCTCCTGTACTCCGGGTGGGTGAACGTATTGCTCATCGTGTTGTTTCGACCCAACTGAACCCACGAAACGGGAGGTCCGGTTGGGTGAGCCTTTCCTCTTGGAT